TGTTGTTTTAGGGATTCAATGGGTGTAAAAATGCTCAAAAAGATGGGCTGGCGAGAAGGCCAAGGAATTGGAATGAAAATGGCTCGAAAAGCACTCGAAAAACAAAAATGTAAATGCTTTCCTCATTTTATTTTCGTGATATATTAGTCCATAGGCAGGAGGACTAATACATTGATACAATAGCGCATTGTATGTTACTGGCGATTGTTTCTCAGTGAGCTATATCACTGTTGTGCCACTACTTAATATACACCAAGAACATTTGGACTTGGCTAAAGCCTTGCCAAGTGCCTCTGTTTGGAGAGAAGTTTAGCTGGTGATCTTTCGAAAAACGAGCCCCAGGACTGCAAGCATGCTAACCACCAAACGATGATATACTGACCGAAGCAACTGGTAAACTTGCGGCCTGCATTGGCAGTCCAGGGTCAAGGGTAGGCCCCCTACCAGCGGCACAGGTAGCAGTGCTAAAAGTGAAGAAAACTCTGTTGGACACCCCTTCCCCCATTCCTCCCAGAAGCCCTACTTTCTTCCTCCCTTCGGTCGCTGTTGCTAGGACCAATAAGCGGAGGAGAACTCTCACCCCTCTTTCCAGGAAACCACCCTGGATCCGCTTGTGGCCGTCTGCATAGGTAGGAGGCAAACCGTGATTTCCAGCTGATCCAAGCGTCCCTGGAAAGAAGTTACTTTCTTTCAAACGCTTTACATTTTCAGTGTTTCGCAACAAATTGCTGATCATTGCAATGTTTTTTTTTTAGTAAATGAAGACAGAGCCCGTTCAAGAAAAGGAAATTATGATGAAGAAGCTGTGAAAGAAGCGGAAGAAATGGCACCAAATTTTCAGTTTGCACCAACCGATTTTGATCCAGATTTATTGAAATCTCATGAAGGTCTGCATGGTTTGGGCTATCAGGCAATACAGTCCACGTCAGTGCTGTCCGAGAAATATGGCACCATCGAGGCTTCACTCAAGACACGGGTCAAAGGAAAAGGCATTTCCGGGCAGGTTTGTTTTTTCCTCTTTTCATTTATGGAATACTTAGACCAGCTATAGTTGTTAATCTAGTTCTCCAGCAATTCAATTTGCAACTTTTCCAGTGGCTTTGAGCAGTGCTGATTTACCTGCCACCAGCTGTTGGCGACCCTGACGCTTGTCTTGTTTCCCTCAAAGTTGGATTATTAAATTAGTTTTGTGGTTCAATTTTTACGAATAAATTTTTGAAACTTTATTTTATGGTATATTTTACATATAAATTTAAGTTTAGTTAAATTTTTTTTCGCCACATTTCTAGGCATTTGGAGTTGGAGCATTCGAGGACGATGATGAGAGCATCTATACGAATTACGACTTTTCGCAGTATGACTTCTCAATCGGACCCGGAGGAAAAGCAGCATATGCTTCATGCAGCGCAAGTAGTGCTTTTTGATAAACTTACCTGAAATGCCTGAAACGGCCATCAGAGCGTAGTGTAGCCCCAGACTGATGCAACTTTTAACTTTTCTAGTTGCTCTTATCAGTATTGCATTGCCCATTGTTCAGCCTACTGGCGATCCTGACGTTCGTTTCTCATTTTGTAGTTTCATTGTTTTTTGTTTAGCTAGTTTTTGTAGAGCGAATTTGTTTGGGGTTTTTTTGCGGATTATTGGTTGCAGTTTTCTACTCGGAAATCCCAAAGAGTATTTCATCTTTGAAGCATTTTACAGGTGACACAAGTTTTGTTATGGCTGAGAGACGACAACCAGCAAGGCAATTTTTTGAGCCTCCGCGTTTGCCAACAAATTTTCGCCCCATTCATACTCCGATACATCCGGATATCTCGCAGATGCCTGCCAATATCAAGCAGTTCGGTGAAAAAATGAATCACCTACAGCGGGCTAAATTATTGGGCGAGGTAATCCACTTCTTTATTTGTTCTGGCTATAACTCAGTTTTTTGGCTGTAATTCTATGTAAGCGGTCAGATCCTCCTCCATCAGATGGCCGATGCGAGACCACGTGAGAAAGTAAAATCCGATAAGCAGGGCAAGTTGTTCACGTTGATGGCAACCAGTAAACATCGCCTGTTGATGATAAATGATGACCGCAAGAGACTTGTTATAGCTGCACTTGGCATCTGCCTGTGCAATATTAGTGTTTTTGGCGTTTGTTCTTTCATAATCTATCTTTCTTTTGGATTCTTATCTGTTTTCTCGGTTGCCATTACAGGTTGATCCGAAAGCTGTGCTCGAATTGATACACGATAAAGATAGAAAAAGGCTGACTGCATCTGCTTCTCGTACCTCAATGAATAGTGAAGATTTGTTAAAAAATGCGTTCGAGGAAGAGCCTATGAAGCAAGCACGGTTCAAACAATATGTACATTATTTGAAGCGAGGTCTGTAAATCGATTTTTTTTCATTCCGACAAATTTTTTTTTTGAATTTTTTTAATTATTTAAAAGTTTTTTCAGTAGTACAGCGTGAAAAATTTGCTTGATGTCATTAGACTTGTTTTGCCAACACCATGATAGCCAGGACAGTCAGCATATATGTGTTTCGTGTTAATGGTACCACTAGGGTTCTAACACACTTTGGTATATCTATGCCAGATCTCCTGATCCTCAGTTCTCTCTTTCAGAGGGGTTTCTTGACTGGGCTGGACACCTTATATCTATAGACAAAAAAAGTTTGATATTGCCAAAGTAGAACGCTGTGTTATAAGATTTCGCTTCAAAAACCGGTCAGTACTGAGCAAATTCATCTACGCCGATGATGTAGGAATTAAAAACCTAGTTAGTAAGTTATTCTCATGAATGTTGCCTCCTAACTACATAGAATTATTACCCGTAACATATGTTAGTTTCCTCCTCTTTCATCTGCTGTATCACTCCTATTACTTTTGTGCTGTTATACTTTCTCTCCTTTTCTTTCTCCTTTTCTTCCACTTATCCTTCTTGCAAATTAGCTACATGTCCTTCCAATACATGGCGGGTAGGAAGCTGTACTGACGATTCCCAATCCTACCCGCATGCATAGTCCGGTTGTGTTTACAGCTAAGGGATGAAATACAGACTGCATTGTGAAATATCTTCTTATACATGACACCTAATTCCATTCTTCTTACTCTGCTATTCCACTTAATATCCACGGCCTGTTCACTGCATGTATGGCGCGTGACTTGATATTTTTTATTTTAAATTTTAAATCTTAGATTTTTTTTTAAATTTATTTTTGGATTCGTTTTGATTATATTTTTGGATTTGCAGGACTCAGCTTTCCTCGGCCATCAGATCTGACAACATTGGAATGGGAGCAAGA